CCCCAAAACCCCAAAACCCCAAAACCCCTTAGTTTCAGAATTCGACAGGTAAATTAAATATTAATGATTAAATAAAATAAAGCTAATTTTAAGTTGTCGAGGCCTCAACAAAATTATCATTATATAATCAGCTGAGATTTGATTTAATTATAATATTAAAACTTTAAAGACATACTATCCAGACTATTCAAGAATGGAATCAGCACTAACAGTGTTCCCCAAGAAGCCCACAAGAAGTGGCAAGCTACTAGGCTAAGAGCTAAAGTTATTCTCCAACTACTTCTCGTTGGTGTTTGACTCTCCATCAATTCAAGGAGTCAACAAATACACATGTAAGTTTGAGCCAGAAGTACCAGACAACTCAAGAAAAGTGAGGACACTCATCATCAGAACTGTGAAAGAGAAGATAAAGGAGAAGTTGGAATTCTTCATTGAATGGGGCAACTGCATCTACAGCTTGAAGAAAGTTCAAGAAATTCCAAAGCTAGAGACTGAGCATGATGGAGTCAAATACACTATTTCTATTGATTGGGTGCAGCTAATGGAAGCTACAGACAAGGATCACATGAATTTCCTTAAGATCTTTTTCAACTCACTCATGAGAGGATTGAGATTCGAGACTATCGGTAGAAAGAGCTTCAACTCTGCAAAAGCTCACTCACTAGATGCTCATAAAATCAAAGTATGGCCCGGTTTCGATGCTAGATTGATCATGAAAGAATAAGGAGTCCTACTTAACATTGATGTTTGCTTCAAAGTTGTCAGACAAGACACTGTACTGGAATTCATCAACGATCTCAGAAGCAAGTGTGAGCAGAAGAACCTAGATTTTCAGGAGGAAATCATGAATGCACTCAAAGGAACCACTGTAGTCACAAAGTAAGTTAATTATAAATAAATAACTAATTTTAGGTACAATTAGAGAACATACAAAGTTGAGAGAGTTGACTTCTCAATGAGTCCAGAGACTACATTTGACAAATCTGGTACTCAGGTATAATTGTTTAATTAATATTATTCAATAGGTATCCTACAAAGACTACTACAAGACTCGCTACAATGAATCTGTCAATGAGCCAAATCAGCCTCTCCTTATCAACAAAGACAGAAAAACTGGAAATGAGATCGCGCTCATCCCAGAACTATGCTAAGTTACTGGCCTCACAGATTCAATGAGAGCCGACTTCAGATTGATGAAGGATTTGGCTGAGATCGTACATACCAATGCTGATAGAAAAGTTGCAGAGTGCAAGAACCTCCTTGAGATCTTCAACACTAATCCTAAGTGCCTTGAGAAATAAAAGCTGTGGCATCTCAAGTTCACAGAGAATCCTCAACCTCTCAAAGGTTACAAGTATAAAGCAGGGAATATGGTGATGGGAGCTAAAGGAAGTGGTGAGAGAAACACTTTCGACATTGAGTCCTGCGCAAGGGAAATCGACAGAAAGATCTAGGACAAGATGTTCGATCAACCAGCACTCAAGACTTGGGGAATCTTCCACGGAGACAGAGACGCACAAGTGTGCAAGTAGTTCTAGCAAACAATGGAGCAAGTGCTACAATAATTCGGCTTTGAATCTGCCACACCGTAGACATTCGTGGTGAAGGGTAATGCCATGCAATCAAATAATTGGATCAAGGAGCTGAAGAGTAGATTGAACAACAATGTGCAGGCGGCCGTACTACTGCTGCCTGGGGCGAAAGGGAAGACTTCACTTTATGACGACATCAAGAGATTCTTGTTGGCCGAGTTTCCAGTACCTTCCCAGGTTGTACTGTGCAATACCATCTCTAAGGGCAAAAATCTGAGATCAATAGTCAACAAGATATTGATATAGATAACTGCAAAAATTGGTGGTATTCCATGGACAGTCGACGCCTTACCATTTATGGACAAACCTACTATGATATGTGGCATGGATGTTTTCCACTCAACCAGCTTAGGAAAGAAGTCAGTCCTCGGTCTTACTGCTTCGATAAATGTTTCAGCTACAAAATACTTCTCATCCTGTGTTATTCAAGGAGAATTAGGTCTAGAAGCATCGCACTCACTGCAAAATGGAATGGTGAAAGGGCTAGAAGCATTCAAGAAAGCAAATGGAACCTATCCACAGCAAGTGATATTCTACAGAGACGGAGTAGGTGAAGGGCAAGTCAACGGAGTCTGCATTCCAGAGATCGAGCAGATAAAAGCAGCCATCGCAAGTCTTAGTATTCAGGTTCAGTTCATGTACATCAATGTGTCCAAGAGAATCAATACTAGGATCTTCGGTGGAGATGTGGGATCTTTCAAAAACCCAATGCCTGGCACTTGTATTGATGCTACTATTACTGATACAGGAATCTACGAGTTCTTCCTCGTGTCTACATCTGCCAAGTAGGGTCTCTCATCTCCCGTTCGCTACTCTGTTCTCTATGATGGCATCGGTGATACACCAGACAAGATCGAGCTTCTAACCTATAAACTATGCTACACCTACTACAATGTGTCCGGATCGATTAAGGAACCCTCAGCTATCAGATATGCTCACAGATTAGCCGCTCTTATCGGGGAAAGAGGAGGAAGGGGCAAGGAGCCACCTCAACCACATGAGGACTTTGAAACCAAGGACCCTACTCTCTACTATATCTGAGGTATTCAAGAAAACCTCATAGTTTGAATATGATGTCTCTTTGGCTTATTAATCTTAATTTCTTAATGGTTAGCCACCAAATATAGCTATTCTTTTTATTCTATTATAAAACCTCTATTAATGTAATTAAACTATAATGTCTATCAATTTCATCTCATGGGGTTTTGGGGTTTTGGGGTTTTGGGG